GGCTTCTTGGAGCCACAGGTGAGGCTTGGGGACAGGTAGACACGGAAGGTGCTTGAGCAGCCCCGACGAGGCTCTCACCCCAGAGGTGCTAATCCTCCCTGTATGTCCCTTACGTCCCACGGGTGGGATGAAAACAGGACAGGGGAGTGGATAGAAGGCTTGCTTGGGTTCAAATCCTGCCTCTGACGCACACTCAACGTGTGACCCTTGGGCCACAACCTCTCAGGACTCTAGGCGACTCATTATAACTAAGCTGTAGAAAAGGTCTCAACTTGCTTAGTAGAGGGTATTTCCTCACCTGGGAGTTCTCTACGCCAACAAAATCCTGGGTCCAATCCCTATTCCTATCTAAATCCTGAGGCATGATGCTCTCACTCCACACTTATACCAAATCAGGATTTCTCTTTATTTGGTGAGAACAGAAACTATACATCGCTCTAAGTAGACCTAGATGAGACTCTAAGAGATTCCTTAGCATACTGGTACTGAAAGTTTCTGGTGTCAGGACCCTCTTAACACTTTTAAAAATTATTGAGGCCCCCACCTCCGTTAAGAGCTTTTGTTTATACTGGTTATCTATCAATCTGCACTTGATCAGAAATGAAAACATCTTAGTATTATTATGAAAAAAATTTGACCTCACAGACCTGCTGAAAGGTTCTCAAGGATCACCAAGAGTCCAAGGATCACACTCTGAGAACTGTTAATTGAGCATAACCCCTTTCTCTAGAAAGCTGAGGTGACTTACCCAAGGTCACACATCTAGCTAGTGGCTGAGCCAGACTGGACCCTGTTCTCTGGGTGCCACACTGCTTCTCAGTTAGGTAAAATCCCAGCTGGAAAGTCCTGCCAGCCCTTGGATTTCTAGGATTCTACATGATTTCTGCACTGCTTCTTCAGATATAGCATCAAAGCAGAATCATCAATTTCTTAACATGAAAACCACAGAGATCTGATTTCTAATTGTTCGAAACACAGTGACATGGGCCCTTTGCAAACCACCAAAAGCAGCTTGAAAATTAAACGCCAGGAAAACAAAGTGATAGAGAAGGATGATGTCCCTAGCCCCAGGACATCCATCGTAAGCCAGGGCTGGTCAGCAGAGGTGCTGAGGCAGCTGAGCTTCGTTTGTTTGGCGGAACTGTTGCTAACACAAGGCTGAGTTAGAAGGCGTGTTGTCCAGCAGCCACTGATGTTATAGAAACTGCCCTAAACAAACCTCCCCGGCGGAGACCAAATCTGGAGGTCCTGGAAGGACGCAGAGAGGGCGCCTGGCCCCCGATGCTTCAGAGGCGATGGAATGTCCATAAATCAAAAAGGGAGGTATTCAAGGAAGAAAAACAAGGGGGTGCTGCTCAGCTGTGCTCGTGCTAAAGGAAAAAACGTATAGAACTTTATACGAGATTGTCCCTTTGAAGAATGACAGATAACCCGTCTCCTTCCCCTGTCACCTTTTATTTTAAAAATATAGTTTTCGCCAGGAAAAGGTTTATCCTTCCCAGCCGACAGCTGTTTGGAGTTAAATAATTGAAGAAGAATAGCAGCTAGCAGTTTTACAGCTCCTTAAGGTTTGCAAAGAGCTTTACACGCAGGCAGACCTCAGAGATGGTGCCGGTTTGTTCCAGACACCACCACAATAAAGCAATTATCTCAACGACGCGAGTCACATGAACTTTTTGGTTTCCCAATGTATACAGAAGTTACGCTGACACTGTACTGCAGTCTATTTAGTATGCAATAGTATTATGTCTAGGGTATGGTTCCTGAAGGTTGGGGGGGCCGTGGCAATTTCTCAAGATGAGGCAACAACGCAGTTTGCCCCATTGATTGACTCTAACTTTCACTTGAACACTTAGAAACCATTGTAGGGTTATTAATTGACCTAATTTCAATCTGGTTGTGTCTCAGGAGATAGGAAGGCCCAAGTGGAGTGAGAGAGACTGGAATGGCCAGTGGGTGGAGCAGTCAGAACACACACCACATCTAGGAATTAAGTTCACAGTCTCATATAGGTGGCGTTCATGGTGCCCCAATATAATTACAATAGTAACAACGAGGATCACCGATCACAGGTCACCGTAACAGAGAGAATAATAAGGAAAAGGTGTGAAAGACTGCAAGAATTACCAAACTGTGACACAGAGATGCTATATGAGCACAAGCTGTTGGAAAAATGGCGCTAACAGACTTGCTGGACTCAGAGTTGCCACAAGCTTTAATGTGTAAAAAATGCATTATCTCTGAAGCGCGATAAAGCAAAGCACAATAAAACATGGTATAACTGTACTATCACTGCTGACCCTCTCAGCAGTCCTGAGAGGTAGGTGCTGTTATGATCCCCATTCTGTAGATAAGGAAACTGAGGCTCTGAAGGATGAAGTGACTTGCCCAGGGTCACATGACTACTAAAGGTCTGCGGCAGGATTCAAACTCAAGGCTTCTTGACAACAAGTCTAGTCCTCTATGCGCTAGCCAGCTGGCTCTCAAGGATCTGCGATTCTTTCCATTGACTCAGCGTCATTTATATTGATCTTTAAAATACACTGTCCCGGCATAATAAAAATGACAATTCTACCTAAACAAACCTACTTATTCAACGTGATCCCAAGAAAATGACCAAAAACGTATTTTATTGAGCCAGAAAAAATAATAACAAAATTCATTTGGAAGAACAAAAGGTCAAGAATATCAAAGGAAAAAATGTAAAGGAGGAAGGGTTAGCAGTACCAGATTTTCAACTATACTTGTTAGGCAGTAATTATGAAAACTATCTGGTACCGGCTAAGAAGCATGTTGTGAATGTAAGCATGATGCTAAAAAACGTATAAATGCACATGATCACCTTTGTCTGGGACCTGCACACACAATTTCTTTCACCTGAAAATGGCAGATATTGGTGTTTTTTAGTAAAGAAGTTGTTGAATGCTGCCACATCTGCTGTGTGTGACGGTGACACAGAAGGTGAAGGGCACAGCTGGCGTGGTCGGGTCCCATGGGTCATGCCCCTCCCTGGTGAGCTATGTCACAAGGCAGGCCAGGTGGAAGGATGGAGTGAGGACCAGGAAGATCTACAGTCATCTCCAGAAGAAACAAGCCCAACCAAGGCTGTGCCCTAGAGGTGACGGTCAGTGGCAGCACCAGCTAGATGGCACTTCTCTAAACGTGTGTGATTTTATTAGTATCAGGAGCTACCCCTCTACCAATGAAGGTCAGGGCCTTCCCTTCCATGTCGAGTCTCAGGAAGCCGCCTGGGCAGTGAAAGGTTACCCAGCTGGCCCAGGGTCCCAGAGCCAGGATATCTCAGATCCGTGACTCAAATCCAGGTCTTCTTAGCTGATTCCCTAGGTCGTGCCGCCTCTCTCATTAACAGCTGCTTAAAAGTTGTGTCCTCACAGTGCCTTCTCCCAAATCTGTAACAACTCCCTATTGTTCACCTGGGGAAATTCATCCTGGCATTCACGGCTTTGCCCAATTTGGCAATACCCAGCACCTCCAGACTCATCTGGTATCACTCTTCTCCACACGCTTCATCTCCAGCCGAACATCATACTCTCTGTTCCCACTACTGGGCCTCTGCTGAGGCTGTGTGCAGTGCCTGCCATGTCCCTCCTCTGCCTCTTCCTTTGTGAAACTGCCAGACATGCACAGGGTCTCATGGGATTTAAAGCTGGCAGACACTTCAGACACTAGCTAGTTTAAACCTTTCAGGCTAAAGAAGAGGAAAACGAGACTGAGAAAGGCGAATGACTCACCTAGTGTCCCCCAGGGAGCAGTAAGTAAAAAGGCGAGGATTTCCCCACCCCGGCCCTGTGGGATCTGAGCCCATCTCAAGGGTCACCTCCTCCTCAAGCCCTCCCTGATTCCCCAACTGTTCCCAGGCGTCTTCCCTTCCAGCACACACTCTACTTTGTGCACAGCCTTGGTGCCCATTTATCACCAGTGGGCAAATTGTAAAAATCACCTTGGCCTCAGTTTTCTACTCTGTAACGTGAAGAGGCTGATTGGATAATATCCAAGGCTCTTTTCTGCTTTAAAAAACATATGTTTCTCATATGTCCACTGTATACAAATTCACTCCATGACTCTCTTATTTCACTGACCTGGAAGTGAATCTTGAGTTCATCTCGGTGGAGGGTTAGTCTAGAAAGCACCTAAGGATCCTGTCATCTAGGCCAGGCCCTTCATTTTACAGATGGGAAACGGAGGCCTGAAGGGGCTATGAGGACAAACGTACTCCTGAAGGAAGCACCTCTTTGGAGCCAAGGAGAAATACACTGGGGATGCACCCACTGGGGGTGTTCAGCAGACTGCACCTCCAGCAACGTCCAGATTCCCCAGTGTCCTCCTCCTCCTCCCCTATCTCCCCAACTCCATCTCCTCAGAACTCCCAGCCTTCAGGCCCCTATGAGACACACGATGGCACTGGGTCCACCCGTCAGGCATCAGGGTTATCTGTGCACATCATCTCCCCTTACTAGAATGTGAGCTCCACGAGGGCAGAACCGGGTCCGATCTAAGCTCGGCATGATCTTCAGTGATCACCCAGTGCCCTTTACCTAGCGGGTGCTACTTAAAAAGGCTTGTTGGATCGAACTTGAGGTTGAGTTTGAAACCCAAGTGAAGGAATACCTTCGTCTGGTGGGAAGAGAGGCAGGTAACCAGATTTCAGACCCTGCCTTCATCACTGCAGTATTAGAACTGACCCACGGGAATTCTGGGAATGCATGGGGCAGGATGGTTACAAAGAAAAACAAAAACAAAAACTGAAACGAAAATGATTCGGTCAATTAAGGGTTTGTCTACACGAGACCCTAAAATTTGCTTGTAGAGGACTTTTTTGCTACTGAATAGAGTGATTTGACTAGATAGTTGGGTACCATGTAGACACGAGAGCCCCATTTGCAAAGCAGAGAACTAAGAGTTAAGAATGAAGCACTAAGCCCAGGAGGCATATCAGAGGAGTTATTACGTTGCCGTAAGCTTCTGTCCAATTTCCTTACCTCATTTGGAGGAACAGTGGCAAACGGCTTGATGATGGCAGCTAACGGGAGCTGGGATTGCTTGGCCATATCCGAAGTGGATGGAAAGCAGTATGTTGTACACCGGATATAACGAGGGCTGGCATTGCCTGAAATAGTAAAAAAAGGCTCATTAAAAAACCCAGTGAAGAGAATGTATCCTAAAATATTCACATGAAGAAACCCAATAGAATGAATGCAGCCATCCAGGTGGAGAAAAGCAGCCGGATGAAGAGTGCATGATGGTTCAGTCGTTTTCAGTCCTGTCTGACTCTCCATGAGCCCATTTGGCTTTTCGTGACAAAGATACTGGAGCGCCTTGCTATTTCCTTCTCCAGCTCATTTTTTCAGATGAGGAAACTGAGGCGTACAGTGTCAAATGACTTGCCCAGTCACACAGTTAGTAAGTGTCTGAGGCCAGATTTGAACCCATGAAGATGGATCTTCCTGACTCCGGGCCTGGTGCTCTACGCACTATGGCGCCCTCTAGCTGCCCTGAGGAGTGAATACTGCCGTACATAATGACTAATAATGCAAATAAAGTCATTGCGGAAAGGTAACAAAGTTCTGGTCACAACAATACTGATGTTCACTGCAGGAGTTAATGAACACATCCCTTATTTCTGTTAATAATCAATAAACTGTTTTGTGGAGAATGTCCTTTGTTAGGAGGGTTTATCCGAATGTTTGCTGGCAAGTATCAGTTGTGTCAAAGCAAAATTTATAAATAATTTAAAAGGGCTGTATATTAAACAGAAGGCAGCTAAGTGGCACAGTGGCTAGAGCACTGGGCTTGGAACCAGGAAGTCTCATCTTCCTGAGTTCAAATCCAGCCTCGGTCACTTGCTAGCTGTGTGACCTTGGGTAAGTCACTTAGACCTGTTTGCCTCAGTTTCTCATCTGTAAAATGAGCTGGAGAAGAAAATGGCAAACCCCTCCAGTGTCTTTTCCAAGAAAACTCCAAAATGGGGTCATGAAGAGTCAGACACAACTGAAACAACTTAACAACGACACCAACAACATTAAACAGATATAACATTTGGTCAACGGTCAACCCACTGAGAGCCCACAAATTTGATTCAATTCAATTTAATTAAGTATTTATGAAGCATTTACCATGTGCCAGATGCCATACTAGGTGCTGGGGAATCCAACACAAAAATGAAACAATACCTGCTTTCAAGAGTTGTTGGAGAGTTGTTCCCCCTTCTACTGGAGGGGAAACTACACCCTAATAATATACAAATAAACGGGAGGGCATTAATGATAGGGGGAATCAAGGAAGACCTTTTGTCAGACGCAGCACTTACGCTGATTCCTGGAGAGCTCGGGGCGTCTCAAGAGAAATATGCCTTGGACGGGTGCTCTAGATGGACAGTATAGAGCAGCGCAATGAGATGGTGCTGGCTTTAGAGTCCAGGGACCTGAGTTCAAATCCAGGCTCTGGTACTAGCTAGGTTACTTTGGACAAAATATTTAACCTCCTTAGGCCTCAGTTCACCGATCTGTAAATGGAGAGGTTGGACTAGGTATTCTCTCAGGATCCTTTCGGCTCCAAATTCACCATTCCATGAACCAGACACAGAATTAGAGGAGAGGAGGGGGCCAGGCCAACTTTGGAAATTCCATAGCACTTTTAATGAGCCCAAGATGCCCCCCCGTCATCAACACCTATCGTCTGAAGGCCCACATTGTCCTCGTGATGCTCTTGTGAAACATCCTGGTCACACGGTGGTCTCAAGATTGGAGGTCATAGGATCCTAGGGCAAGAAAGAACCTCAGAAATCACTGAGTACAGCCCCTGTTTGACAGATGAGGAAACCGAGACTCAGAGAGGTGAAGTCACACAGCCAATTAATGTCTAAGGAGGGATTTGAGGCCACGACTTCAGGACTCCAAGTCAAATGCGCTAAAAGGCAAAAGAAAGACGAGTGGTGACCTATTCCACCCCTTCGCATGAGTGTGGTACACTGCACGTAGTTTCAGACTTTTTTGATTTGGCAGCTAGGTGGAGCGGTGGATAGAGTGCTGGACCTGGATTCAGGAAGAACTGAGTTCAAATTCTGCCTCAGTCACTTACTAGCTGTGTGACCCTGGACAAATTAGTTATTCTCTGTCTGCCTCAGTTTCCTCATCTGCAAAATGGGGCTAAGAATAGCATCTACTTCCTAGGGTTATCATGAAAATAATGTGAAATTATGTTTATAAAGCACTCTATAAACAGCTACGTATGCTATAGAGCAGACCCACTGAAGTATCAGAGCAACCTTAAAGCTTACATTCTAGAAAATGCTTTTTGTTTTATATGTAAAAAGGGGAAAAATATCAAATAGTACTTTAAAAAATAACATGTTCCTACAAACTACCTACCCAGAGTTACCATATTGTGTCTACTTCTGCCTGATGGGGCCAAGCAGAAGAAAGCTAACCCCCTTCCACAGGACAGACCAGCCAATGCTTGACTACCACTCTCCTGTGCTTCTAAGACTTTTTAGACCCCTCATCATCCAGGGCACCATCCTCTGGCTGTGTCCCAGCGTGTCCACGTCCTTCATAAAATGTGCCCTCTAGAACTATGAGAAACTCCAGGCGAGGTCTGGGCAGGGCAGAGCGAGTTAGACCATCTCTCCCCATTCCTGATACCCTACAGTCACATTTTCTTAATGCAGCCCGAGATAGCAAGAATTTCAAATAGCAAATCATCAGTTTAAAGCTAGAAATGGCCTTAGAGACTCATTCACTTCCTCACTTTACAGGCCAAAAAATAGAGGACTAGATCAATTCACTGAATTTTTTTTTTTTGGCTAGGCAATGGGGTTAAGTGATTTGCCCAGGGTCACACAGCTAGTAAGTGTCAAGCATCTGAGGCCAGATTTGAACTCAAGTCCTCCTGACTCCAGGGCCGGTGCTCTATCTACTGCAACACGTAGCTGCCTCCATTCATTGAATTCTTAAGGTCATATAGCAAGTCTGCGGTAGGGCTGAGATGAGGACTCAAATTTTCTGACTCCTAATCCATTAATTGTTAACTATACCATGATTTCCATGACTAAGGAATTTACTTTGGAAATACACAGGCGAAAATATATCAAACAAAAAAAGAGAAATTTTAAGTTAAGGAAGTAAGACTTGGAAAGTTTCCCTACAATGACTATTTTATTACACTCAGTTTGAGCTTAACACTATGTTGTAGGGTAGAACTCAGCATCGTGGATCCCAAAAGGTCTTTGTTCCTGGCATAGCAGAAGGAAAGATGGTATTACAAGGTTATTTCACTCATGCATTGGTCCCATAGCAGGGCTGATAGCAAGCTCCCGGGTGCTTGCTGTTAGCAAGACGTCCCAACTCTGGAAAGTCCAATAACATGGCATTGAAAAGCTATACCTTGGTCTTGGATCACACAGTCCGTGGTTACCAGAGGGGGAACCTGGCCTCTCATGTTGGTAGCATAAACTTGACCGCTTCTGGTGGATCTGTCATTCTCAATCACCTGAATCTGACAAATGAGAAACCGCCAAAAAGTAAGTATTCTCTTAATTCATTTTTAAAGATTCTGTATTTTATTTTGTTATAAATATAGAAAAAAGTATGGTCCAATGACTAGAAAGCCAGTAGCCTCGGAACCAGGAAGACTGGTTGAGTCTTCTTTCTGCCACATACAGGTTACGTATGCCAGGGCACATCCCTAAAGTTCTCAGGCACCAGTTAACTCTTCAAGTCTTCAGAGAATGCATATTTCATCATGCAGAATTTCCCACACTTATGAAACAAGGTGAAAACACCTACAAGCAAAGCCTTAAAGAAAAATACTAATTTGACCCAAGTCCAACAAGAATTCCTGGAAGAATCAAAGAAAGCGATAAAAGTGGTAGAAGAAAAATTGGGAAAAAGAAATGAGAGTAATGCAAGAAAAAAATATGAAAAGGGAATTAACAGTTTGATAAAAGAGGTACAAAAAAAAAACTGAAGAAGATAATACCTTAAAAAGCATAATGACCAAATGCAAAAAGAGGTACAAAAGTTTACTAGAGAAAATAATTCCTTAAAAATTAGAATTGAGCAAGTGAAAGCCAATGACATCATGAGATATCAAGAAATGATAAAATAGATTTAAAAGAATGAAAATAGAGAAGAAACTGTGAAATATCTCATTGGAAAAATAATTGACCTGGAAAACAGATATATGCAAGATAATTTAAAAATTACCGGACTACCTGAAAGCCAACAAATTTCAAGAAATTATAAAGAAAAAACTGCCCTGATATCTTAGAAGTAGAGAGTAAAATAGAAATTGGAAGAATCTACCAATCATCTCCTGAAAAAGATCCCAAAATGAAAATTCTTAGCAATATTATAGCCAAATTCCAAAGCTCCCAGGTCAAAGAGAAAATATTATAAGCATCTAGAAAGAAATCATTGAAACATCATGGAGTCACAGTCAGGATCACACAAGATATAGCAGCCTCCATGTTAAAGGAGCAGAGGGCTTGGAATATGATATTCTGGAAGGCAAAGGAGCTGAAATTGCAAACAAGAATGACCTGCCCTGCAAAACTGAGTATAACTCGTCAGGGGGGAAATGGATATTTAATAAAACACAGGACTTTCAATCATTCCTGATGAAAAGACCAGAGCTGAATAGAAAATCTGACATTCAAACATAAGACTCAAGAGAAATATAAACAGGTAAACATGAAAGAATAATCCTAAGGAACTCAATAAAGTTAAATTATTTACATTCCTATATGAAAGATGACACATGTAATTCCCAAGAACTTTATCATTATTAGGGCAGTTAGAAGGAGTCCTCATAGAGGGCATGAATATGAGTCGATTATGTTGGGATGTCCTTCAAAAAAAAAAAAAAGAAGTGAGAAAGAAGAATGCGCTGAGGGAAGGAGAGAGGTAGAATGGGATAAATTTTCTCACATAAAAGTGTGGGGAAGAGTTTTTGTAGTGGATGAGGAGATGGGGAGGGTGGGCAATTCTTGAACCTCATTCTCATCAGAATTGTTCAAAGAGGTACGTGTGTGTATATATATATGTATATATATATATATACGTATATATATATATGTATAAACATTTATATATATATATATGTGTATGTATGTAGACATTCTCAGTTGAGTATATAAATCATCTTAACCAATAGGGAAATAGGAGGGGAAGAGGATAAGAGATATTGAGGGGGGATGAAAAAAGGGACACAGTAGTCGAAATCAAAGCAGACTTTTGAAGAGGGACAGAATAAAAAGAGAGAGACAAAAGGACAAAAGAAGAAACTAGGATGCAAGGAAACATACAGTGATCATAATTGTGAATGTGAATGGGATAAGCTCACCCATAAAATGGAAGTGGGTAGCTTAAAGGATTAAAAGCCAGAATCCAACAAAAAATATGTTCTTTACAAGACACCCACTTGAAACAGAAATGTACACAAAAAAAGTTAAAATAAAGGATTGGAGCAGAATCTCTTATGCTTCAGCTGAAGTAAAAAAAGGTAGGGTAGGAATTATGATTGCAGACAAAGCAAAAGCAAAAAGAGACTTGATTAAGAGATAATCAGAAAAACTACAATTTGCTTGAAGATATCGTAGACAATGAAGCAATATAAAAAATTTTCACATCAAGTTTCTCTTTTAAAGGCCTCATTTCTCAAATATATAGGGAATGGAGTCAAAGTTATCAAAATAAGAGCCATTCCTCAATTTATAAATGGTCAAAGGATATGAACAGGCAGTTTTCAGAAGAAATCAAAACTATCTAGAATCACATGAAAAAATGTTCTAAATCACTATTGATTCAAGTAATGCAAATTAAAACAACTCTGAAGTACCACCTCACATCTATCAGAAATAACAAATACTGGAGAGGATAAGGGAAAATAGGTGATTTAATAAATTGCTGGTAGAGTAGTGAACTGGTCCAACTTGGAATTGCATGCAAAGGGCTATAAAACTGTGTACACTCTTTGACCCAAAAAATACTACTACTAGGTGTGAATCCTAAAGAGATAAAAAAAAAAAGGAAAAGGACCTATAGCGGTGTCAAAGAATTAGAAATCAAGGGGATGCCCATCAATTGGAGAATGGATGAACAAGTTGTGGCATATGACTGATGGAATACTATTGTGCTATAAGAAATGACTGGGTGGATGGTTTCAGGAAAAAAAAAAACATGGCAAGACCTATATGAACTGATGCAAAGTGAAGTGAGAAGAACCAGGAGATCAATGTCTTCTGACATTCTACATGCTCCATGAGTCCGCCATGCTGGTCTACCTGCTCTTCCTTAAACACAACAACCCTTCACTTGCTGCCTTTGTGCATTGGCACCAGCTGGTCCAGCACTCCTGCAGTAACTGGCTGGTCCAGTGCTCCCTCCAAACTTGACCCTGAGAATTCTTGATTTCAGGACTTAGCTCAAGTGCCATCTCCTATAGGAGGCCAGCACTGGCTTTCCCCCCTTCCCCTGCCCCAGATGCTAGTGCCATCCCTGCTAAGGTTATCTTTGATCTACCCTTTCTTTACAGTACATGTTCCGATTTCTACATGGCATCTTCAATATTAGAATGTAAGCTTCTTGAGGACAGGAAGTAGTTTTGCTTTTTCTTTACATCCCTGACACTTAGTACAGTGCCAGGAATGTAGGAAGTGCCTAATCAATGCTTGTTGATTGATTCTATGAAATAAGGAAGATACATGTACATATGGAGCTGCCAAGCAGAGTTCCAGTGAGCTCTGATGGGTGCTGCAGGCTCCTCACGTGCAGGCAATCTTCTTCCTACAAACATTAACATTGCTCTGTGATTTTACTTCACACCACCTCTTCAAATTTTATTTCATACCACTTTGCTGAACACGCGTCCCACTACGCCCATGCTTATGTGACATCGCTGATGCAGTTAGTTCTATCACCACGAGATTACAGCCCAATCCCAGCTCACACTGGACTTAGTGCCGCTCTAACCAATATTATTTGGTGGAAACAAAGAAAAGACCTTAAAGATGAAATCTGGCTAACGTCCAGGGACCTTCAGTTGGTATAAATGAGGGCTGGATTGTGCATGATGAGACCACGAGAGTGCAATGGGAAAGGTGCCTAGGGAATATTTTGTTTAATTTCAACTACTTGTCATAGAAATGAGCAGCTTGATGGCTCAGTGGATAGAGCACTGGGCCTGGAGTTAGGAAGACCTGAGCTCAAATGTAGCCTCAGACACTCACTAGCTACGTGATCCTTGGAAAGTCACAACCCAGTTTGCCTTAATCCACTGGAGAAGAAAATGGCAAATCACTCTAGCATCTTTGACAAGAAAATCCCATGGACAGCACTGGTGTGCCCTGGTCCAAGAGGTCATGAAGAGTCAGACACGACTGAACAACTGAATGATAAAAATTTTGACTGAATTTGAAGAAAAGAACACCAGTCTCAGAGACCAGCTATGTGATCTTAGGCATGTTACTAAGCTCTTCTGGACCTCCATTTCCTCATCAGTGATTGAAGGCAGCATAGCATGGTTTGAACTGAAGAGGACCTGGGTTCAAATCCTACCTCAGTTGAAACCTTTCAAAGGATTTTGGTGATATGAGACTGGTGCTCAGAAGACAGGCAAGGGCTGAATATCTAGGAAGCACATGCATAGAGATGATAAATGAAGCTTTGCAAACTGAGATTACCAAGCAAGACAGAGCAGAGGGAGAAGAGCAGATGGCCTATGACCAAGTCTTGGAGGACCATCCATGGTCAGTGGGTATGCCCTGCATAAAGGACCTGCAAAGGAGACTGAGCAGTCAGATTGGAGGAGATCCAGGAGAAAACAGCACCACAGAAACCCAGCGAGGAGAGAGTCCAGAGGAGATGGCTGACAGTGTTAAAGGCTGAGAGGCATCGAGGAGAGTGAAGGATGGGAAAAGGGGACTAGACTGGGTAATAAGAGATCACCAGCAGATTTGGAGGAAGCAGTTTCAGCTAAAAGAGAGACGGCAGAGGGTTTCGAGAGGAGTGGAGGACAAGAAGTAGGGGCACCCCATGTGGACAGCCGTCTGAAAGCGTCTAGCCTCAAAGGGATGGCCTGAGAAAGAAGTGAGGGAAGGGAAGTCACAGTGAGGAAGAAGAACAAGGATGGGGAACTGTATGACATCAGAATAGACGGCATGACAAAAGATAAAGATAAGACACAGGGATTTCAGAGCTTGTGCATGGGAAGAGAACGCTTCAGGGTGGCCAGTGATGGGACCATATGGCGGAGGTGGACGTGAAGAGGAGGCGTAGGTCACGGGAACTGAGAAGATGAAGGAACTGGGACGTCAGGACAGTCAGAAGAGATCGGTGTCCGTGCTGAAGTTTCCTAAGAAAAGGGCAAGAGACTGGGAAGAAAGAGAGACTGTGGGCCAGCCACCGAACTCCTCAAGGAAGGAAAAAGAACGTGCAGGAGGGTCGAGGGATAGCAGCCACCAAGATCAGAACAAGCAAAGGTGGGTGGAGGCATCCAATGAGCTCACATCCAGACAGCGTGAAACGACTTCGGTGGAGATGTCCAGCACTGTGGGGAGATCCTCTCAGGGACGCGGACAATGGGCACGAGGGATGCCAAGGGGCGGAGGGAGACTGCAAACGCACCAGGACGCGCCTCAGAAGCCTGCGCTCAGGAAAGCATGCCCACGTCTTGATCACTTACTGGACTTGGGATAGACTCCGGATCGAGCTTCTTTGGAGGCTGCATCGGTCCGGCCATCTGCGCAGGACCGCCAGGAAATCCCGCTGGGGAAGTCAGCTGAGCTCCAGGCATCTGAGGAGGGCTGTAGTTGGCCCCTTTAAAAACAACGAGACAAACGTCAGCTTTGACCATCTCAGACCACTCGGGCCGCTGGATGGCCTTTGTCAAATACAGGTATGAACAAGACTATCAGGCAGCGAGGTGGCGCAGTGGATAGAGTACCAGCTCTGGAGTCAGGAGGACCTGAGTTCAAGTCTGGCCTCAGACACTTGACACTTACTAGCTGTGTGGCCCCGGGCAAGTCACTTCACCCCATTGCCTAGTAAAAAACAAAACAAGACTGTCTTTGGCCTTCTGTCTATCCCTTAAGTTCGGAACCCTCAAGAACCCCAGCACCTGCCGAATCAGAGCAGCACATGAGAAGACACTCCCAGGGGAGGAAATTCCCTCCACCAAACTCTCCAACTAACAGTTTGGAGATTTAGAGCAGTAAGAAGTGAGGTGGCTTGCTCAGGGTCATACAATCAGTAATGCCCAAGGTGGCATTTGAGGCTGCCAGGTCCCACTGGCAGAAGTCACAGTTACAGCTCCCAGGGCCAGCTTTCTATCCACTACACCTCGTTGCCAACAAAGGAATCTGGGAACAAAGACAAGGAAAAATAACCTCTAACCACCAAGTGTCCACCTTCTCTGCCCTAATTCTAATACATGAATATACCCTGGTACTAAGCAGTCTTCCTTTAGTGGGGCAGTCAAGTGGCACAGTGGATAGAACACTGGGCCTACGGTCAAGAAGTTCAAATCCGGTCTCAGATATTTACTAACTGTGTGACCCTGGGCAAGTCACTTCACCCTGTTTGGCTCAGTTTCCTCATCTGTAAAAATGAGCTGGGAAGGAAATGGCAAACCACTCTTGAGTGAAATGACTCAACAACAATATTTAATCACAGAGATAATGTGTGGATGCCTCGAGGAAGTTATGACACTGTTCGCTTTCTCAGAAACGCCAACATCTGTCCTTGAGAGAAAGATAACCATCCCAAGGCCTCTGGTGACCACGAGGTGTCCTGATCTGGAATAAGTGAAATGTGTTGCTGATTTGACATTGACTCTCTTTCTTGGTAAGAACATCTAGTTATTTTAGGATTACGGAAGCCCGAGCTGCAGAGCTGCACGACCCTCAGAGGTCACCTAGTGCAACCCCCTCATTTTACAGACAGGAAACTAAGGCCCGAGGAAGGTGAATAAATCACACCAGCGGTAAGTGATGGGGGCAGGATTTGAATTCAGGTCAGCTGGCTCTAAATTCAGTGTTCTTTCCAACACGCTAGGCTGTGTCTGTAAAACTAATGATGGTGAGGCCAAATCAAAATAAATGCTCAATAAAATGAATTCTTAAGTGAAAATAGTGGAATGCGGGCCAAGGGCACTGAATACTATTCTGAAGAGGTTCAAAGGCAGAAAGACAGACACGTCTGTGGGAATATCCAACTAAGAAAATGGGAGGAGAGGCCCCCCTTGGAATCAGGACTTTAGTAAAGAGGCATTTTCCGAGAGACAACTAGAGGGAGAACTTGACTAAAACATGTGCTAAACAGAAATGTCAATTTTCAGCTCTTAAAAAAAACGATCACTGAAAAAAAGATCAACTTTAATATTTCCATTTGTTTCCAGCAGAGGAGAAAAAAACTACATTTTTACAGGAAGCTGAAAATTGGGTCAAGGTTCACCTTGCAGAAGAAAATCAAAGAAAAACGTGACATTCCTGCTCCTCTATCAAATGGAAGAGTCAGTGGCCCCTTTTCCTTGCTTGTTAGCATAAGGGCAGCTAAGTGGCTCCGTAGTGGATGGGGCTGCAGACCCAGAGCCCAGAAGACCTGAGTTCAAATCTTACTAGCTCTGTGACACTGGCCAAATTACTTAACTGCTGCCTGCCTCAGTTTCCTCGCTTGTAAAATGGAGCTAGTAATAGCTGCTACCTTCCAGGGTTGTCGTAAGGATCAAAGGAGATAAATGTTCAAAAACCCTACAAAAAAGTCCTACAAAAAGTTCTGGCAATTATTGTGGAAAGAGCAATTAGGGTTAGGGTTAGGGTGGATGTGGGGTCAAATCCCACCTCTGACACTTACTAGCTGTTGATGCTGGGTATGAAATTTTACTTTCCGGTGCCTCAGTGGCCTCATCTGTAAAATGAGGGGGTGGAATTGAATGACCTCTGAGGCCCTTTGCAGCCAGGGCTCTGAGTCCATATGGCTTCCAGCTCTAAATCTATAGTCCTGTAACAACAGCCATGGTTACCACAAACTGGCCTTGCAAAATTCTCATGAGAGGGTTCTCTTTGAATGACCTATCTGAATGCCCAGAGACAGGCAGAGACAGGCATTTATCATGTCTCTCTTTCAGCTGTATATGGGGAGAATATGTGTAGTTATCTCCTGACTTAATCCTCTTTACAAATGCTGCAACCTGTCCAGAGCAACAGCCCGGTTCCAAAGACCAAAGAGAAATTATAGGATGTAAGGCCATTTGGCCTGTTTTTCTTATGAAAGAAACCTCAGCTTCAAAGTTCTGGACGTATCAGATGTAGCCAACACAAAGTTTTCTTCTCCATATAATCAACTGCCCCTTTCACATATGGACATTCTGGCTGCTGAGAGGGACAGAAACAGAGACTATGTGTAAGGAAAACTGATAAAATCATCTTGAGAAGAAACAGAGGCCGTCAGATAAAATGTTGAGGAGAGACACAGACCGTTTGTTGCTAAGCCTGCCCCTCAGGGAAATGTCCTGGGGGGAGCAAAAGCATTGATATAGGTAATGGTGGCTGCAGGGCCTTGTGGGCCATCAGCCCATTTGCATGTCATTGCTTTCAGAGTATTAAAGGCTCTCAGAGGGAAAGAGTCAATCAAACAACTGTTTGTGGACTATGGGAAAATTATATAACAACTGGTATGGTCATACCTAAGAGACACTAGGAATGAAGACTGGATGTCATCGCTAGAGGGAACTTTCAGGTGGGGAAAGTCACTCCGCCATCTTCTCTGAAACTGAGGGTCTTGGACAGTCACCTAGAGCACTATGAGGTGCAATGATTAGCCTGGAGTCGCACAGCCAAGATGGACCTGAGGTGAGTCTCCAACCCTGGTCTCTCTGGCATCAAGGTCAGCTCTGGGCTTACTACTCTACACTCTCTCTCATGAAGTAAAGGCTGTGATTTTTCCTGCTTTTGCTTTCTAATGAATAAATACTATGATTATCACTGCTTTTCCTTCATCGTTTAGTAAATGATTTATTTTTAAGAGTTAATGGTATCATAATGGCTTGGCCATGCATATGAGAGGACGCCTCCATCCTCTGCCTGTCCTGCACCTTTGATCCCTCCAGAACTGGGGAGGATGGTCCATGGGTGTGGAACACAGAATATAATGCCAGCCCTGTGCTCGTGGACTCCACTGCCTCAGTGGGTGGGCCATGACCGTGACCAGGTCGCTTATATAAATATGTCAGACATATTAGTGGAGCCAGAGGGCCCTTCGCTTCCTCCTCAGTATTTCCCTCAAAGGAAACAACCCCATTCTTACCTTGCTGAGGAGGATATCCAGGGCCTGGAGGTTGTCCTGGAAGAGGCAGAGATGGAAAATTGGCAGTGGGAGGGCTGGATCCAGGGAGTCCATCCTGCCTGCCTGCTGGTGGCAATGAGGGTGCAGCCCCAAAGCCGTTGTGCGTGCTCGGCGGGGGTGGGAGCATCCGGGGGCCCGGCAGCAGAATGGATGGCTGGGCCAGCTGCGGAGGTCCTTGGAAAGATGCTGCCGAGGGTGGGGCCGGGATGCCCGGGGAGCCTGAAGCCATGCCAGGACCTGTACAAAGGCATCAGGAATAATGTGAATGGGAACTGGAAAGCAGCCTCCAGAAGACTGAATCAGCTTCAACAAAATGCCCGACTTCTCCAGTCACGCAGCAGAAGGGCCCGAGCCCTTGTGATCCTTCCGTGCTCATGATGAGCTGAAGGCCTGTACTACACAAAGTGGCCCTCCCTCCGTGATGTGTCCAGAATAAGAACTCCAGAACCCTGCAAGCTTCAGGAGGAAGCTGGAAGGAGAAATTGTCCTTCTACAGCAGCCCAGGCGAACTGGGCACGACCGAGCTGTGTTTTCTCTAAAACCTAAAAAGGACCATTCAAAGCGTGGTCAGCTAGTCTGCTTTTCTCAGGATCCTGGGGGGCCAGAAGTGAGTTAGCCCCCACACTCTCATGTTAGGAAATCCTAACAGAAGGAAACCACCTGCAGGAACTGAAAGGCAGAGGGAGAACAAGGGTAGAGCCAGAACAAGGGTTCGTGACAGGGCCACGCGATGTGACTTTAGCCACATCATTTACCTTCCGTGGGACTCAGTTTCCTCTTTTGTAAATTAAAGTAGGCAGCCCCTGAGGCCCCTTCCAGCTCTAATCCTATGAAACTGTTTATTCTGTATCATAATAAAAAATCCAGTTACATTCAACTGTCAGGTATTAATGAACTAATTTAGCCTCCCTTCCCCTCATAGCCTTACAAAGACTACAATCCAAACAATCCTCTCTGTTTCTGAAACGCCCTTCAAACTCTTCACCTGTGACCTCTGTTCATTTCTGTATGGCTGCTGCTGTCACCTCCAGCTCCTCCCCTTCACCCCAGATGCAAAGTGGCTCTCTGGGGCATCAGGTGGGAAGAAGGACAAATATGTTCTTGGGAAGTCTGTATCAGGGCCAACCAGGAAAGGAAGTTATTCTGTGTCTCTGCTAGATTAGAATATTCCAAGGGGTTTACTGGTTGAAAGACTTTCTACCAACAATCTGATCCCGTTTCAGTAACAGCAAGGAGACTTTGGCATGTCTGCCATTGAATTTCATGAGTCAGAGACTAAAAAAATTCAGCACAATCTAAAATTATCTCATGAGCAAATATATTTCAAAAGTTGTGACAAGTCATTTGATTTTCTCCTCGCAAACTAGAAGATACCAAAAAACAAGAGGTATCCACACAATTTAATTCAATTCAGTGAATATTTATAAAGTACTTAGTATGTGCTAGGAGCTGTCCTAGGTGCTGGGGACAAAAATACAAAATGATGAACAGTCATTGCCTTCACGGATTTGGGGGAAGGGGTAGATATAACATGGACACAGATTTGGTAAATACAATATAATTTGGAGAGAGAACTCTAACAATCAGGGAGATAAGGAAAGACTTCCCATGGATGGCGTCTGAGATGAGCCTTGAATATAGTTAGGAAGAAGTATAAGCAGAGGATAAAACACAGATCAGGAAGACCCAAGTTCAAATCTTGCCTAGCGATGTGACTTACTAGTGATGTGACTCTGGGCAAGTTATTTAACCACTATCTGCCTCAGTTTCCAAACAAAATGAGGATAATAGATAATAATAGTACCTTTCTCTTAGGGTTGTTGCTTGTTTTAGAATTATACAAATGCTAGTTATTATTATTATTATTTTTGGAAGTGAGGGAGTGCATTTAAGTAACTGAACATATACATACAACCTGTGTGAAGGACTGTAGCCAGTAGCTCAGTTTCTCTCAAACCCAGAGTAGGTGAAGGGGGCCTAAGGTAAAAAAGTCTGGAAAGGTAGGCTGGAGCCAGAATGGGATAAGATTTAAATTCTAAGCTGAGGACTCTGTATTTTCTCCCGTAGGCAAGAAGGAGGCATTGAAGATTTTTCAGCAGGAGTGTGCCATGATCAGATCTATGCTTTAGGAATATCAATTTGTTAGTTGTGGATGGATCGGAGAAGAAAGAGCCTGGAAGCCAGTAAAAAGACCAATCAGGAGGCTATCAGAATAGGCCAGGTTAGAGGTGATGGAGGTCTAAACCAGGGTGGAAACCGTCTGAGCCAACTGAAGGGGATGGAATTGAAAGATGCTGTAAATGAACTGATGCTGAGTGAAGTGAGCAGAACCAGGAGAACATCGTACGCAGTAACAGCAACATTGTGTGACAATCAACTTAGCTCTTCTCAGCAATACAATAATACAAGACAATTCCAAGGGACTCATGATGGAACATGCTATCTATATCCAGAGGAAGAACTATGGAGTCTGAATGCAGTAAAGCATACTATTTTCACTTTATTTTTTTTGTGTTTTTTTTCCCCTTTTGATCTGTTTCTTCTTCCATAACAAGACTAACATGGAAATATGTTTTACATGATTGCACATGTATAACCTATATCAAATTGCTTCCTGTTTTAGGAAGAGGAGAGAGGAGGGAAAGAGAAAAATTTGGAACTCAAAATCTTACAAAAATAAATGTTGAAAACTATTTCTACATGTAATTGGAAAAAATAAGATACTATTAAGTAAAGAAAAAAGGGGAAAAAAGAAAGATTCTGTAGAGATAGAACTGACAAGACTTGGCAAATGAATGTTTATGTGAGATTAGGAAGAAGGAAGAGTCCTGGATGACCTTGAGGCTATGAACCTAGAAGAATGATGGTGTCCTCAATCAGGGAAGGGCACGTTTGGATGGAGCCCAGGGAAAATTAGTTTTGTTTCAGTTTTGTTCAGGTCAAGGTGCCAACGGCAAAACTAAATAGAGATGTCCAGCAGGTAGCTGGTGATGTGGGGCTGGAAGGCAAGAGAGAGATGAAGGATAGCTACATATCACGTGCGTCACCTGCACAGAAATGGTAACTGGACTCATGAGGGTTGATGAGATCACCAAGATATGGAGAAAAAAGAGAAGAAGTCCCAAGACCAAAGTAGAGTTGGGATAGGAATATGTGAGGAACGCTGCTGCCATTATTTGGTACTGAATTCTATAGACAAATTTACTGGGGACTAGTTATCAGGGAAGAATCAATTCTTTACTCAGAAAAAACCCCTTGCTATTTTCAGTGTTGGATATTCAATTGATGTGGATAAGATAGCAGTGGGGTGATCTTTTTAGATGAAAATACTCTAAATAAACTGTTAATCCATTTTAGGAACGAAGTATACAATATATTATATTTGGAGAACTAGCGGCATAACAACGTTGATACTATTTAGCACAGGACCCAATCTTTCCTAAATGACTGGAAAGGACCATATTCCCAGTCATTTTAGATGCAGTTCTAAAACGAGCTAATCATAAGCTCCAGAGATAGAAGAAATCCTTGGAGATCATTTAGTCTAATACTCTCATTTTACAGATGAGGAAGCTGAGGCCCAGAGAGAGGGAGTGTCTTGCCCAAGGTCATATGTAAATAGAAAAATCCAGATTTGAACCCAGAACCAGTATTCATACTCCTAAACTATGATACCCCCCTCATCATCTCCAGAAGATCTCAGTGAAAATTCCTGCCTATTAACTAGGTCTTCCAACCCTCTCCCATTAGCACCTTGGCCTCGACTAATAATACTCCCCAGGTAGTCCGAGGGGCAGGAAGTGGAGGGACATCTCCCCTTACTATCATGAGGCTTTTAACTGGAACAAACCAGGTCTATTTGGGAGTTGTTGAGCTTGGGAATGTGGGAACTGGGATGGCCACCCATGAGCAAGACATCTTACCTTTCTGGGCATCATTTTTTCCATTTATAGGTCCCTATGACAGGCTAAGGTCCCTTCCATCTTGAAAATGAGATATTCCTATGGTAGCATCATATATAATAAGTGGCTTTTTTTCCTCTTCTATTCTACTTTGCATGGAAGTCAATCAATCAATAGGCATTTATTAAACACCTACTATATGTCAAGCCCTGGGACCATACAAAGACAAAAATCAAATAGACCCTGACCTTAAGGGGGTTATATTTTTAACCAAATAAAGTTAAAATTCATTGTGGAAAATAATACCCAACACTCTCACATTCCTTATTTTAGGAACCCATAAGAGGCAGGGTGGCATACTGGATAGAGTGTTGGACTTGGAGAAAGGAGGAGCTGGGTTCAAATCCTGCCTCTGACACCTCTCTGCTGTGTGAACCTGAGCGAGTTACTTAACTTCTCTGAGCCTCAATTTCCCCATCTGTGACATGAAGATGTTGGATTCGGCGGTCTCCAAGGCCCCTTCTGGCTCTAACTCTATGATCCTATGACAGAGCAGCGTCCAGCAGCTGTTGCCCTCGCTCACAAAAAATAACAAAACGCACAAATGAGCACTGAAAAGGAAGAATTCACCATTACCGTAATTGTGGATTTGCATGGCACCAAGTTGATGGCCCAATTGGGTGGTGGCAGACATGGACCCAGGACTGGGATAGGATGCTGGTGGCAGATGAGAAGATGGTGGGTAGGGAGGGGCAGCATTGTTGGCATTGTTGACAGGTGGAGGGCCTGGAAACCTGAGAAGAGAGAAGAGTCGAGGTCAGACAATAACAGAAAGGATTTCCCAAACTTACCATCTGGAAAGATGGGAGGGTTCTTTGAAGTCCAGATACCACTGGCAACATCTTGAAAAGAATACTACTGGACCTAGAATAAGAAGATAGTGGGGGGAATCCCAGCTCTGCTTCTCATTGTTGTCGCTGGTCCTTTGTTTTCAAAGAGGACCAGTGACATCACGGGGCGATGTCTTGACTTGTGCATGAATTGAGTTCAGTGAAGCAGAGTTGCTATTTACAGTCTGTGTGGCCGTCATTCCTCTGGGCCTCGGTTTTGTCATCTGACTGTTTCAGCTCAAAATATATTGTTCAATGATCCCAAATTCAACACGTCCAAAAGTGACCTCATCCGCTTTCCCTGGAACCTTGTCTTAACTTCCTTATTTCTGCTGATGGCACCGCCATGCTCCAGTCACCCAAGCTTGACTGGGTAGCATCATTCTGAAATCACCCCTTTTCTCTCTCCCTTTTCTTCCCTTTCTCCCCAACTTCCATCTCAAACCACAATCAGTAGATTCTGCTTCTGATGCATCTCTCACATCTGTCCTCACGTTCTGGCTTCTCTGGAGCAGGCCCTCATCATCTTTTCCTATTTTATCAGAATAGCTGCCCAGCCAGTTTGCTGCCCAAATCACCTTCTTAAGACACATCTTGACCTGACCTGGCACTCCCTTGCTCAAAACAAAACAAAAACCCAAACCCTAAGACTTCAGGGGCTTTCTAAGGATCACGGGATCATAGATGTATATAGAGACAGAAGGGACCTTTGAAAGCTTCTTCCTTTTTACCCCCTCCTTTTTACAAATGAGAAAACTGAGGTCAAGAGAGGTTAACTAACTTACCCAAGGTCACACAGGTAGTAAGCGATAGATCTAGGATTTGAACCTAGGTCCTCAGACCCCAAACCAGCTCTCATTCTATTATGCCATGGGGATTAAAACGCCAATACCCTATACTCAGGGCCCTGCAGAATCTTGTTCCCACCAACCTCCCCAGCCTGTAGTTCATTCTGTCTTTCATCTTTTCCATTTTCTCTCAGCTCCTTAGTTCCACCAAGCCCACTGTTTCTGAGCAGACAGTGAAAATGCTGATTCACCTGAGTAGTAAAGCTCTGCCCAAGAAACTAGAGGATGTGTGGAGAAAAGAGTGGGAGCTCAGTCCCAGGCCAAGGCTGTGGAAGAAAGCAGAGACTGGCCTCAAGCAATTATCCAGCCAGGGGCAGGACATCAGTTGTGGTCACCCCATCTAGGTCTGCAGCAGGGCCAGGCATCCAGATTAAGTGGGGAGGACCAGGCCCCAATATAGCTTCATCCCACCCCAAGTAGGAGACAGTAGGAGACAGCAGGAGACAAAGGGCCTAGCCACCCCTTCAGAAAAAAGCAGGAGGTGGCAGGGCCTTCCCCTGGCACAAGTTCCTATCTGGAAACTGAGGTTGAAGAGATGAGTAAAAGAAAAAAAAACCTAAATCAATGAAGAAATACCATGGATTAAAAGAATTCCAAGATAATATGCCAGATGAAGAAATTAAGATCACAATAAATATGAGCAGAGCCTTGGGAAAAAGAATGAATTGGACACAAGGATTCCAAGAGTGGGTGGAAAAGAAGTCTGAAACAAGAGATAAAGAATGAAATTAGAGTATTTGTAAAGAGAATAGTTTAGAATCAAAAGCGGAAATCCTTAGGCAAATAGCGGCTATACCCTTCCAAGGAGAATAGAATAAACAACTCAATGATTCAATGAACAACAAGAATATTAGCAAAAAGCCAAAAGAATAAAAAATTAGAAGATCATGTGAGGTATATACTATCCAAAGCAATTAACCTGGAAAATCGGATAAGGAGAGAGAATTTAAGAATTACTGGACTCCCTGAAAACAATGACCATAGAAAAAACCCCATATATTATATTTCATATAATCATAAAAGAAAACTACTCAGCACCATCATTACTAGAGGGCAAAGTGAAAAGAGAAAGAATCCATCAATCACCTCCTGAAAGAAACCCCAAATTGAATATGCCCAGAAATATCATAGCCCAAATCCAGATATTCCAGGTCAGAGAAAACATACTATAAGCACCTAAGTAAAAAGAGATCAAATATCAAGGAACCACCATCAGAACACACCAGCAGATACTATATAGAAAAGGAAAGCTTGGAATACTATGTGACAAAAGGCAAGAAAAAGGCTTTTATCAAGTATAACATCCTAAAAAGTTGAGTATAATACTGCAGCAGGGTTGAGGGAGGAAAGAGAAGTATAGAATAAATGAATTTCAAGCATTCCTGTTACAAAAAACAGATGGGGTAGAATTTCTGAAATGCAATCACAGGAAACTAGAAACACCTAGACAGACAAATACATTTGAAGGGATTAAATGATGATCACAGGTTTACATCCTATTAGAAGGAGAAGAAACCACTGTTTCTTCAGAATTCTACTGTCATCAAGGGTCATGGAGGGAATATGGAAAACCAAAGGCCCTGGGTCCGCTGTTTTTCTTGTTCTCTTTCTTTTAGATGAGTGAAAAAAGAGACAAAATGAGGAAGAAGAGGTAGGAGCTTGATATTTCTCTTCACTGGGGTACATCTAAGAAGAGCATGCATACATGGAAGCTGGGGTGGAGAGATAAGGAATCCCATAAACTTCCCTTATATGGAATGGGAAAATGAAGGTGAACACAGACACAGACATAGATACACACACACACACACACACACACACACACAGAGTGTTTGATATAGGAGTACACTAAAGTCAGTTGGGAGCAGGCAGGGATGGGCAAAGAGAAGGGAAAGAAGGAGGGTAGATTTAGGAAAAGAATAATCAGAAAGTGCAGGTCCCCATCACCTCACAACTAGACTATTACAATTGGTGTCTGTCTCAAGTCTCTCCCAGCAGCTGGCATCATACTGCACAGAGCACTAAGCCTAGAGTTATGAAGATCTGAGTTCAAATTTGACCTGATACACTTACTAGCTAAGTGACCCTGGGCAAACCTTTGTCTGTCTCAGCTTCCTCAATTGTAAAATGTGGATAATAACAACACCTACTATGCACGGTTGTCAAGATCAAATGAGGTAATGTTTGTTCTAAAAAAAGTTCTTAGGGTAGGATCTGACACACAGTAGGTGCTATATAAATACTTATTCCTTTATTCCTCTTTCCTTCACTTTCCTGTCAAATCGGTCTCCCTAAAGTATGTCTGACCATTGTCAATACATGCTAGTGGCTCCCTATTGGCTCCAGGCTCAAATATACAGCTTCTGTTTGGCATGCAGAGTCCTTCCTGACCTGGTCCCGTTCCCCTCTTTTTCAGGCTTTTTATACCTTCCACCCTCCTCCTCTCATTCCCATCCCAATACTCTGCAATCCAGTGACACTGGCTTTACTGTTCCTCCACCTCCCAACTCTGAGTGTTTTCACTGGCTGTTCCCCATAGCCAGAATTCTCTCTCTCCTCAAATCCACCTCCTAGTGTTCTTGGCTTTCTTCAAGCCTCAGCTGAAGTTCTATCTTCTATAGAAAGCCTTTCCCTGTTCTCCTTAATCTTACTGCCTTTTCCCTGTGAATGCCTCCAACTTACCCAGTCTATTTCATGTTTGTACCTAGTTGTTTGCATGTTGTTTCCCCCATTAGATATTAGATTGTGAAGTCTTTGAGGGCAGAGACTTTCATTTACCTTTCTTCGTATCCCTGGCACTTAGCACAGTACCTGGCACTTAGTAAGTACTCGTTGACTGACTGACAACTAAAAGAAAATTCACCCATGGTGGGCTGATTAGATAGGATAGAAACAGAATATTAATAGCCAGCACTGATACAGGGCTTTAAGGTTTACAAAGTTTGTGATGTTTGCAAATTGCATCATTTGATCCTTATAACAACCTTGTGAGGTAGGTGTTATTACTGATGGGGAAACTGAGGCTGAATGGTTAAGTTACTTGCCCAGTCAAGTAAGGGTCTGAGACTACATCTGAACTGAGGTCTTCCTGATTCCAGATCTAGCACTCTCTCCGCTAGCTGCCACCTAGCTGCCTTCAAGCAAAGAGGGCAGAGGAGCAGTATCAGATAACTAGAATTATAGATTACTACAGCTGATCCCATTCCCTTTCCTTCCTCACCTTTTTTTTTTCAATGGAGGAGGAATGGGAAGTACCCTGGAGAGAAAACACTAGAACGTAATGAAGGAAAAACACCTAACAATAATAACCATGAATTTAAGTGGAGTGGGTTCTTGTGTAAAACAGGAGAGAGCAGCAGTATGGAATAGAAAGTAGAAACTAACCACAGACTGTTTACAAGAAACACACTGAAACATAATGATTCACACAGAATTAAAGTGATAATTGGTTAAAGCAGAATCTTTTATATCTTGGGTCAATCTCAAAGAGCAGGGGCAGCAATAATGATCTCAGGCAAAATAACAATAAAAATGTCCATGGTTATATGAAATAAGTAAGAGAACTATCTTATGCTTGAGGGTACCATAGATAATGAAACACTATTACTATTAATTATATATACATTGAATGGCACAGCACTTAAGTACTTCTGGGAAAAGCTCATTGAACTAGGAGAAGTAGACAGTAAAACAATAATCATTGGGAAATACAATATGCCCTGTTAAAACCTAGACAAATCTAGCAAAAAAGATAAGAAACAAATTAAGAACCTAGATAGAATTTTAGAAAAATTACATATGATAAGCCTTTGGTAATTACTGAATGGGAATCATAAGAAAAACACATAGTACTCAATGTTATATGGTACCTCCACAAAAACTAATATCATGTTAAGGCCCCCCCCCAAAAAAAAACCTGATAAAAATGCATGACACACACTCTTTACTGACCACAACACAATAAAATTATAATCAATGTGGGGAATTTTAAGAAAGGAATAAGAAATACACGGAGACTAAATAATATAATCCTACAGAATGAGTGGTTAAAGAATGGTTCACAGAAACAAATAATTTTATCAAAGAAAATGACAATAAGATAATGTAACAAAATTGTTGTGATACAGCCAAAACAATCCTTAAGGGAACAATTATATCTCTAAATAGTTTCATCAATAAGAGAGAGAAAGTAGAGATCAATTAATTGGGCATGGAATTTTTTAAAAAGGTCTAGAAAAGCATCCAATTAAAAAACTCCAAATAAACAAATAAAAATGGTGAAAAGCAGAGATAAAATGGAAGAACAAAAACTACTATGTTAACAAACTCATTGGGGACTTTTTAAAAAGGCAGGCTATTAATTAGTTTGTTTAAAAAAAAACCAAAGAAAATTAAATTACCAAAATAAAAAATGAAAAATGGGTATTTGTAACAGAAGGAGAAATTGTTAGAAAACTACTTTGCTCAATTAAATGCCAACAAAATTGATAACTTAATGGAAATATATAAATAATTAAGAAAACTAAAAATACTCAGATTAATAGGGAAAAAATGTAAATAGCCTAACTTAAAAGAAAAGAAATTGAACAAACCGTAAGTGAACTTCCAAAGGAAAAGCCTCATTCCCACATGAATTTAAAAGTGAATTCTATCATATATTCAGAGAATAATTACCTTTAATATTACATAAATTATTGCCAAGATGAGAAAGAAAGCAACCTATTAAACTTCTGTGAGAAGATGCTTGTATAAAAAGTGCTTAGCACAATGTCTGGCACATAGTAAGTGCGATATAAATGTTTACTTCTTTTCTCCTTCCCCCTTCCATAAGACAAATATCATTCTGATACCCAGACCTGAGAGAGATAGAGCAGAGAAAAAAATTTAAAACTTTTATTTCTAATAAAATTGCTGAAAAAATTGTGGATAAAACATTATCAAAAGGGTCTATGAGAACATATTTGAAAGACTGTTTACTATGACTAGTATGAATTTATACTAGGAACACAGGTTTGGTTATGAAAACTATAGGCATGACAGGCCATATCAACAACAAAAACATTAAAAGCCACATGACTATCAATAGATGTTAGAAACACTTTTGAAAAATGCAACAAATAGAACAAAGGGTCAAGAATCTCAAGGAAAATATAGAAAAAAAGTGATAAGGAAGGGGCTGTGTCAGCGTCACATAAGAAACACAATCAAAACTCTTTGGTAACGATCTAAAAATAGAAAAGTTTATCAATGTAGCAGAGCAGGTAAACAATACCCAGGAACAAAGCAAACACATTATTGTGTTTAGTAAACCTAAGGATATCAACTACTGTGGTAACAACTATTTGACAAAAACTGTTGGGAAAATTGGAAAGTAATTGGGCAGTAGTTAGGTTCAGATCAACATTTTATACCTCGTAACCTAATAAATTACAAATGAATACATTGTCTAAATATAAAGGGTCATAAAATGAGAGAAGGAAAAGGATTACTTTTCACAACTATAAATACGGGATAATTCCTAATTAAACAAGGGATAGAGGTGAAGATTAAAAGGATAATTTTATTACATAAAACTGAAGAGCTTTTGCATAAATAGAATCAATGCAACTAGAATTAGAAGAGAAGTAGTTAATTTTGGAAAATGTCTTTCCAGTAAATATCTCTGGTAATGATCTGATACTCAAGATATCCAAGGAAATTGAAACAAATAGATATGAAAAATTACTCATGATACCAAAAACTTAAAAAAAAGGTCACAACAATGCACCTCTTTACCAATCTGCTGTGGACACAGAGACTGAGAAATAGCAAATGATAGAGCTAGGACGAGGAAAGCATGTAGTGTTTTCCAAGTTTTTACATTTTAAATACCAAAACTGATCATGAACTGACTCGTTAAGAAGACAAGACATTCTATATACTACATTTAAAGACCATGATGCAATAAAAATGGATGTGAAATAGTGACATCATGAATAAGAGAGCGACACTGATTTATTAACATAACTGACATAAAGGAGAATTTAAAGGGTCAACAGATCACCCCAGAAAGAAAGAGGATACTGATATTACACATAAAACTCTATGAGATACAGCCAAAACGGGACTTTGGCAGAAATTTACAGTTATATTAGCAAAAGAGAGAGATACAATAAAAGAATTGAGTTTGCACTCCACCTCCCAAATCCAACAGTTTAGCAAAAACAAAGGACAAACTATCAGAAAACAGAAGAGAAATAACCAAGATCAGTACAACTGAAAATAGGAAATCAATAGACACAAAAATGAAATACAAGTGCTGTTTTTAAGAAGACTAACAAAGGAAAATAATAAGGAAATCTAAGAAAAAAAGGGAAGAGCAAACCCAAATCGCCAGAATTAGAGAGGAGAAAGGAGACATCACAATGAGGGCAAAAAAATCAAGAAAAAGATCAGAGAGAGTTACATGTACACAGCTCTATGCCAAGAAATCTGAGAAGTTAATTGACACAGATGGTTATCCACCAAAATGCTAACAATCAGAATGATCTGAGGCTAGGAAGGCACGCTAAAAAAAATGAAAAAGAAACTTTATTGTACTGAGTGAAAGTGGAAGATCAAAGGAAGAAGAGGACAGTTGTGTGTGTGTGTGTGTGTGTGTGTGTGTGTGTGTGTGTGTGT